ACACCAGGATGACTGCGCTTGCACCACCATGACAGTGCACTCACACCACCATGACAGTGTGCTTTCACCACGATGACTGTGCGCTCGCACCAGGATGACCGTGCGCTCGCACCACCATGACAACACGTTCACACCACCAAGACAGTGAGCTCGCGCCATGATGACAGTGCGCTCGCATCTCCATGACTGTGCGCTCCCACCAGGATGACAGCGCACTCGCACCACCAAGACAGCGAGCTCACACCACCATGACAACACGTTCACACCACCATGACAGTGAGCTCGCGCCATGATGACAGTGCGCTCGCACCTCCATGACTGTGCGCTCCCACCAGGATGACAGCGCACTCGCACCACCAAGACAGCGAGCTCACACCACCATGACAACACGTTCACACCACCATGACTGTGTGCTCGCACCATGATGACTGCACTTGCACCACCATGACAGTGAGCTCACACCATCATGACAGTGCGCTTTCACCACAATGACTGTGCGCTCGCACCAGGATGACAGCGCGCTCACACCACCAAGACAGCGAGCTTGCACCACCATGACAACATGTTCGCACCACCATGACAGTGAGCTCGCGCCATGATGACAGTGTGCCCACACCACCATGACAGCAAGCTTGCACCACCATGACAGCACGCTCGCATCACAATGACAATGCACTCGCTGCACGTGTTTCCGCACCTGTGGATGTGGCCTTCTCCTTGCCCCATCCCCCTCACCCTTGCACAGCCAAGGCCTCTCTGTGAGGAGGGAAGGAGAGCTCGTCCCTGCAGAAGTGTACTTCTCAGGAGAGAGGAAAAGGGAGCCCCTGGCATCTCCCTCCAGAGGAAGAGAGAGATGTTCTAAGCTCTTGATGAATCTGAACACTCAGCTCAGGTATTTTCTTTTAAGGTTGTTTCATCCATTATTTACCCTAGTGCTTATTCAGCACTCATTTATAAAGAGCCAGGGCTGGGAGTTGCTTCCACAAGGCACCGTTCGGGGACCCACAATTATTTAGTGCAAGGCAGGTAAGAATGCCTTAGCTGTTGACTAAGAGTGTGACCCCATGATTCAGATTTATGGAACAAGACCTGAGAAGAAACTTGGTTCGGAAGTAGGTGGAGTTGGACATAGAGCGCAGGACCACTCCAGCTGTCCTTCATGCTTCTGGGAATGTCAGCTCTTATAACCACTGCATGGGGCCCCAGGGCCCAGGTGGTTTTATAGGGGGCCTGTAGAAGGTGCCTCCAACACACACACACACTCACACACAAACTAGCACCTCAGAGATAGCTTTTATGTTTCCAAGGCTCCCCAAGGTGCCAAAAGATTTCCCAAATTCAGAGGTTATCAGAGCTTCCTGTGCATGCCATGGGAGCTGCTGTTAAATGCTAACATCTTGGCTCCTGTTGACCTCCCAGAGTTGTACAATGCCCTGTTTGCAGGGAAACTGGCTCTACAGAGTTCTTGCAGGATCGCCCAGGTATGTCTGGACTCCCCCTTTGCACAGGGGCCTAAGATGGGAGGGGAGAAAGGGGCAGAAGTGGGGGTGGGGAAATCAGGAACTGCAGAGTTACCTCCTAGCTAGAGCGGGTGCCTCTTCACCCCATCTCTGCCAGAGCTGTGACACCTTCGCTAGAGTCCCGTGTGATGGGAAGTGATTTCTGTTCCTTTTCTGGGGACCTCTTGCCTCACTAGCCTTCCACAGACCAAACACACTCCAGACCGGAATGGGGGTAGGCACAATTGTCTCACTGAGGGGTTAGGAACAGTGCAAGGAGAGGACCAGAAGTTGCAATGTTATCTCACTTACTCATTTCCTTGTACCATGCAGGGAGGAAGGCTCGTCGATTCAGGTCTGCAGAAAGACAAGTGTTCTGTGTGGACACTTCCTCTTTCCTAACCTCTGTGCACTCCACTTAATCTGCCTCCTACTGCACCCCTGAAGCCTGGTGTCCACACCCCTTCCCCTCTTTAAGAAGTTAATCCTCCCCTCTACCACTTCTAGCCCTTCTACCCTCAATCCCCCGCCCCTCATTCCCAGAAGGTGTCCCGTCTTGTGTCTTGGGAAATCCAGCTCCTCGGGCTTTGCTCAAATGTACAAAGAGCCTCTCCTCTGCTCAACTTTTGCCAGTTGAGGATTGGAGAAAATGAAAGGCAGAAAGGAAGATTTGTGGGCCCATATACCCAGGCATGGCTGGGAGGGGAGTCGGGCTTAGGCACGTCCAGGGCCAGGACCCAGAAATCCTCAGAATGCTCCCTACCTACAGCTCTGTGTCTTTGCGGGCTGGCTTCTTCCTCTCCAGCTGCCCCCCAGCTCTCATGCAAGAGCGAAGAAGGTGGTGGGTGTGTCTTTCCAGTTCAGGCTCCCCAGCAGTGAGAGCTGCAGGAGACCACCTCTGTTGTCAGCTAGAGTAGCAACCCAGTCTGGCCTGACTTGAGGAAAACCTGTTCTTCCTGTTAGCATGGCTTCCTTCCTGGACCTTGCAGAATAATAATCCTGATACCTTGGTCCTGGCCCACCTTACAAGCTCCGCGGTATGTCTTAGCAGCTGTTATCGGTTCAATTGCGTCCTCCAAAAAGATATGCTCAAGTCCTCATGCCTGGAACCTCAGAATGTGATCTTATTTGCAAATAGGGTCATTGCAGATGTAACTATTGGTGTTAAAATGAACTCACACTGGAGTAGGGTGGGCCTTCATTGTGTCTAAGAAGAGGACAAGAGACACAGGGACAGACACTTGGAGGCGGGGGGAACACCATGTGACAACAGAGGCAGAGATTGTAGTGATGGATCTACAAGCCAAGGATTGCTGGCAACACCAGAAGCTAAGAGAAAAGCATGGAAGAGATTCTCTCCTAGAGCCTTTAGAGAGAGGACGGCCCTGCCAACACCTTGATTTTGACTTCTAGCCTCCAGAATTGTGAGAGAATACATTTCTGCTGTGTAAGGCCTCCCAGTTTATGGTGCTTTGTTGCAGCTGCTCTAGAGAATGAATACAGCAGGAGACATGGGTTGTACCAGCTCACATTGATTCTTAAAGATCGCTAACCATCACTGCGATAGAAGATGCTTGTGTCTCAAGTCACCCTACCAAATGGAAGACTGTTTGGGTTGAGGCCTGCTAGGCTCTTGCCTGGTTCCTGTCACTCAACTCAATTTCTTCCAGGAACAAGGATGGGGTAATATTAAAGGCGAAACAAATGACTCAACAGCAGGCAGTATAAATGGACTTACAGGAGCCGTAGACAAGAAATGCTACACCAGCCATACTGGGAACTTGAGCAGTGCCTGCTTGTGACATAGTAATATAGTCAACCTGCAAGGGCCCTTTTTACCCTGTCACTCGGTGAACAAAGAGTAGGCTCTGAACAGAAGGGGCTGTGCCCAGGAACACCTCTGGGACCCAAACATTTGCCATAATGCTTTCTCTGGCTTTGGGTTTCTAAGACATTGATTCATTTAAGATATTAACCAGGCGGTTATCTTTTAAAGATTCAAAATTTGCAAATTTAATTAATGATCTGAAGGAGACATTGCTGTTCATATTGCCAATAGGGGTAGCCCTGTGGAAGGAAAGTTGAGTCTTTTGAAAAACTCCATCCACGAATCTTATGCCCTCTTGTGTACCCTTACCAGGTTGAGAAGCACTGATACAGAATTAACTGAAGAAGTAAAACTCAATTAAAAAAAAATATATATATATAATTATATATATATACACACACATATATATTCTGGATGTTTCTCTTTGTCCTCACTCTTCATTGTCATCCCAAGACATTCTGTAGTATCCTCACGGTTTGTGAGATTGACCCACCTCCAGATCCAACGGTGGGTTCTGACTTGCCCAGACTGATAGGTGCCATCACTCCCCTTTTGCCTCAGTGGCCAATTCACTAATGCAGTCAGTGCATAACATGCAAATATTCCTCTCCCCAGTCTCCACTGCCGCGGGTGGCCACATGACCAGCTCTGAGATGTAAACAGAATTCTAGTTGGGGCCTCAGGAAGCTTTTTATGATGGTTTGGCTTTTTGTGTTTGGGGACTTTTTTTTCTTCTGATGAAAAGGGGCAGACTTAGCAGGGTTGTTAACCTGTTTGTTCTCTTCTTCCCAGAAGCTAGACTATGATGCCAGTGAGGAAGCTGCCATCTTGCTATCTGGAAAACAAAAACCGCTTGCTGAAAATGGTGGAGCGGAGAGCTGCAAGGAACCTGGCTCTGAGCAGACAACTCAGTGTGGAGCAGCTTCTCCAGCCCCGGCCCACCTACCACTGGAAACGAAATAATAACCCTATCTGAATCATGGAAATTGGCATAAGGAAGAGTAGACAAGTAGATCAATAGAACAAAACAGAGAGCCTAGAAATAGATCCATGCTGGCCATAAAATTAAAACCTGATCTACTGAACTTCATCAAAATTTAAAGTTTCCACTCATCAAAGACATTAAGAATATGAACAGGCAAACCACAAACTGAGAGGAAATATTCACAATACATTTATCTGACAAAGAGCTTGGATCCAGAATATATATACTGTTATACGTTAAAAAGAAAACAAAGAAAAATACAACCCAATGTTTTTAAAGAATTAACTAAATAGTTCAAGGAGCATGTCACAGAGGAAGCTATAGAAATGGCCAATAAGCACATGAAAAGATGTTCAATGTCATCAGTTATCCGAGGAATGTAATCACAACCTCGTGACATTTCACACCCACCAAAACGGCTAAAATATTTAAAACTGGCAACACCAACTGTCAGTGAGCATGTGGAACAATTGAACTCTCATACGTTGCCATTTTGGAAGTGTAAACTACCATAGGCACTTTGAAAAACTGATGGGCGGTTTCTTAAAATATTAAATATGCACCTATTTATTACCCAGCTATTTTACTTCTGGTTATTTGCCCCAGGAAAATGAAAACTTATAAACTAAAGGCTTATGCAATCATGTTTTTAACTGCTTTATTCACAACAGGCAAAAACTGAAAACAGTCTGAATATTTACCAACCAATGAATGGATACACAAATTGTGGTATATTTATTCAATAGAATACTACTCAGCAATAAAAAGGAAAGAACTACCGAAACTTTCAGCAACGCGGATGAATCCCATGAATATTATGTTGAGCAAGAGAAGTCAGTCACAAAAGAATACACTCTGTATTGTTCTATTTATATGAAGTTCCAGAAACAGGCAAAAAGAGGCTATGGTAAGAGAAATCGGAACAGTGGTTGCCTGGGGGACAGGGTCAGGATTCACAAGAAAGGAATATGAGCTCATTTTCTAGGGTGACAAAAATGTCTTGTATATTGATGGGGTGGTTTTAGGAGCTACAGTGCCTTTGTCAAAACTCATTGAACTGTAAACTTAAAATGTGTGCATTTACATTTACAAACCCTATCTCAAAAAAACAAAAAGTACCTTATTTGGTTAAGCCCCTGCAGTCAGGTTTCTGTTAATGTGGCCAAAAGTAATTCAGGAAGGAAAAACTAGAATAAAAATATAAAGATAATAAGGGGAAAATGAAGAATCAAAAGCAGTGTGGTATACAGCCTCCATCCACAAGTCCTTTAATCCTCAGAAGTGCATACCATTAATTGCATTAATCACATGGCTTAAAGGATCTTCTCGTGTAGGTGGGGGAGCTCTGTGCACGAGTCAAGTTGCATGGAAATAGGACACAGGTGGTTATTCCTGAGGGGAGACTGAGGCCCAAGGGAAGGTGAGGTACCAGACGTTCCAGGCATCCCAGGACCAGCTTTAGACACTCACAGCCAGGAAACTGGGTGTGTGAATCAAATGTACCCAAAGCTTTGAAGTTCCAAGAGACCCCAACTAAAAAAAGAGTTGGATTTGCTAAGGGAGAGGGTGGGGGTTATCCCTGGTGCTTTGACTCTTTCTGAGGTCCCCCTGGAGCTTCTGTCCCCGTCCCGCCTCCAACATGTCCACATACATGTGATTTGGTTTTAGCTCAGGGCAGTTTTCACAGCAGTATAGGACCCTGCTGTGAAGATCTCTTGCCTTGCGCACTTATTACTACCCAACATGTATAGTCTCGTCCTCTCGTTCCAGGGCGGGTGTTCTCCCCAAATCCTCTTCAAGAAGAAAATCCTGCTATTGCCCATCCAGAGTAGACTTATGTCCATGCACACCACCCAGGGTAGACTTAATGTGGGGCCTTCACCTCATTAACAAAAGACCGTCGTCTTCTGATCCCCACACATTCTCCGCATCCATGCAGTCCTCATGGAGAAACAACCACCACCTCCTATTACTAATCCTACCGACGCTCCGAGGGCACACACCAGGTAAATGCTTTGATGATGGTGATTGCTGCGGTGATTATATTCCCCCGAAGAGTGGCTCTTTTTCTTCAAAACCCCTAAATTCCAGGGACCACATGAGTTCAGAGCGACAAAGGATACTGTTTTGCTGAACCCTGATCCTCACACCAAGAAGGTGGCCCTTCCTGTCCCTGGCAGCTTTGCTGGCATTCCTGCCTTGAGTGGCCGCTACACATTTGTTCTGACAGGGCACAAAGATGTTACTGGTCTTCACTTGACACAAATGCTTTGTTCTGTACTAAATCCATTTTTCGCCTTTTCCTTTAGTCTGTGCGACCACCTTTAAAAATGCCACTTGGGGGGCGCTTGGGTGGCTCAGTGGGTTAAACATCTGTCTTTGGCTCAGGTCATGATCCTGGGGTCCTGGGATCGAGTCCTGCATTTGCATCCGGCTCCCTGCTGAGCAGGGAGTCTGCTTCTCTTTCTCCCTCTGCCCCTCCCCCTGCTCGTGCTCGCTCTCTCACTCTCTCTCTCTCAAATAAATAAATAAAATCTTTAAAAAAAAATAAAAATGCCACTTGGCATCAAAATGATCATAAACACATTTGTGGCTATGGGGCCCGGGGTTGCAAGATGATATTCCTACATAAGGGGGACAGTCAGCACCGAGTCTGCTCATCCTAATCTGTTTAGATTACCATAACCATGAAACACACAATTTTAAAATTCTTGCAGAGAACTCTTACAAGTCTGGAGGACAGTCCTTCTATTCTCATAACCCCAGCCTCGGCCAGGGACTGCAGACCCCATCTGAGAAACCGTTCACCCTTCTCAAGCTTGCCTCAGTGCTCTCTTGCTTTGCCCCAAATCTGGCTCCATTTGAGGCAATGGAACATGTTACAAATCCCAAAGGGTTTTCGCTCAGGCCTGTTCTAGGACCTATAAAAGCAAAACGTAGGTCCTGGTGGGTTTCTGACATTACCTGGCCAGGTATTACCTTCGGGCTTGATGTAACTGTCATATAAGGAAATTGCCTGAGAAACTTCCTTCCACTTGGGATTCATGGACAGGCTTTTTTTCTGTTTCAGCTGCTGATTGGCACTGAAGTTGGTAGGCGTCTGCAGCAGAACAGAACGGAATGAGATGGAGGCTCTCTCTAAAACTTGGGGTCTGACGGCCTCTCCCCCAGCAGGTTGGCGCTGCGACAGGCTCTCGCTTGTCAGGCCCCGCTGAAGCTGCCTCCTCCGCGGGCCACTGGCTGTCCGCAGGAGAAGGAGCTCCAGGAAGAGGATGCTGCTCTTCAGGCTGCGAAAGGCCACATGCTAAAAATACCGATGGCAGAGCCTGTCACCAGGGAACACTTGGCAGTGATGAAGATGTGCTGTGAAATGGAACAGCCTTGTCCTTTAGGGAGAGATTTCTCAACCAGCCGGATCTGTGACCGAGCCTGGTGGTCAGCCGTCCGCGGAGCTCTGAACACGGGGAGCGCTCTCTCCAGGAGACAGACGCCCCCGCTTCTTTATTCCCACGCATCCCGGCCTCCAAACCGGTGCTCACGTCTGCGTTTCCTTTTTGGGGACAGGAGATGACGGCTCCCCCGTGTTCCTGCGCTCAGAGCCAGGGAGTCACCTCCGCTGCTCCTGTACCCTCACTCCCCACATTGAAATTGATGCACCTCTTTCTGTTTCTTTTTTTTTAAAGGCTCTGATTGTCTTTTTTTTTTTTTTAAGATTTTATTTATTTATTTATTTGAGAGAGAGAGAGAAACAGCATGAGAGCGGAGAGGGTCAGAGGGAGAAGCAGGCTCCCCGCTGAGCTGGGAGCCTGATGTGGGACTCGATCCCAGGACTCTGGGATCATGACCTGAGCTGAAGGCAGTCGCTTAACCCACTGAGCCACCCAGGCGCCCCCTCTTTCTGTTTCCAACCCCACCCCGCACCCCTCAGTGCCTCCATTTAGGCTCGCTCATCATCTCTCGTCTGGACTACTGCGGTGGCCTCTTAAATTATCGTCCTGTCCCTGCACTCCTTTTGCCAAATTAGATTAGGTACAGCATCAGAATGATCATCCTTTACGTTAAAACACACACACACACACACACACACACACACAACAGTGCCCCCATTGCATGCAAGTACAGCTCCTTGAAAATCAAGGCTTCCCCCAAACTCCTCCCCAAGCCTTCATTTCTGTACAATGTGTCTATCGCTGTCTAACAAATTGCCCCCAAAACCAGAGGCTTAAAGCATCAATAAAACTTGTTATCTTGCAGTTACTGTGGGTCAGAAACTGCTCAGAAACTGCTGAGCAGTTCTGGCTCAAGGTCTTCTGTAAGTTTCAGTCACGATGTCACCCAGGACTGCAGTCACCTGAAGCCCTGGCCCAGTGCCAGGAGATCAACTTTCAAGACAGCTCATTCACACGGAGGGCAGGTTGGTGCTGGCTCTTGGCAGGAGACTTCTGTTCCTTCCCTATGCGGGTCTCTCCCTAGGCTTCCGTGTGGTCTCGTGCGGAGGCAGCTGGCTTCCCCCAGAGCAGGCAATCCAGAAAGCAGCAGGGAAGTGGCAACATCTTCTGTGACGCACTCTTAGAAGCCACACACCATCACTTCCTCCATCTTCCATTGGTCACACAGACCAACCCCCATACAACTCCGGGAGGACTCCAAAAGAGCACGAGTCCCAGGAGGTGGGAATCATTGGGCGCCATCTTGGAGGCAATTTCCCACCTTGACCCTCACCCTCTCATCCTGTGCACCTTGCACTGTAGTCACGCAAATGATCCTCCTCCCACTTCTCCCTGACAAAATCCTACCTATCCCACCAGAACTCATTGCCGTGAAGTCCTCCCACATCCTATAAGCTTTAATAAATTCCTCCTCTCCTGATCCACTTAGCATTTCTGCTTCTATTATAGTACTTATCACACTCTGCCTTGTTGGATGCAAATGTATCTACCTCCGAAAACTCCCGAAAGAGAGAACCCATGACTTATTCTCACGTTCACCCAGTCCTTGGCAAAGTACTTCCAGAAGAAGATGCTGTGTGCGCGTTGATTGAATTGGCTGTGTCTTCCTTCCTGTCAGGGTTACTGGTTGGGCTAACCCCCAAAAGAGAAGAGACGAGACTATTTCCTTTAGCGTCATACTGTGTGCTTGCTGGGCGCCAGCTGCTGGCGGTAAGTGTGGTCCTCGCTGACGTAACATTACAGCCTAATGAAACATTTGTAAATTCTCCTAAATGGCTGGACAAATGAAGCTGCATTTAAAATTCTCTACTCCGTCAACTCAACATATCAGAATATCCCTAATCTTTGAAAAATATTTTACCTAGAAGATTCTGTGGCTCCATCTTTCCACTTGATTCTCAACTTTTTTATGACGGTTCCTACTCATTCACCTACCTACTCGTCCATTCATACACTCAAAAAACACTCACTAAGCATGTGACTGTGGGTATTTGGAGATAAACAAGATGGAGTTTCTCCTTCTAAGATCTTTGAAGTCCAGTGGAGAAGACAAATGGGTACACAAAGGACTGTAACAGCCGTTGGCACAACAAAAGAGAGTAGAGGCAGCATGTTCCCAACAGCAATTCTCCTCAGCCTGCGCGGTGAGGAGCGCAGCTCCCCCTTCTGCTCTAGAAGCTCCTGAGAGCAAGAGTAACTTCCACAGACTACATCAGAGATAAACAGCGGTGTCTTTTTTGTCCAGAAAGATCTGGACACCTTCCCCTGGTCCCTAGAACAAAACCTCCCTGCCAACCCCTCTCGCTTTCTAAGCAGGGAATTGAGGGCCAAGAAAGGAAAGAGGAACGGAATTGCCTGTTTCAATGGCAAAGTTGAATTCGCCAGGTGTGAATTCTCGGCAGCATGCCTTCTCTGGAAAATGGATCAGTCCTCACCGCAGGCTGCCCAGCACTGTCCATCCCCACTCAGAACCGGGGCGGCCAGCCTGGAGAGCACAGGCATACCGATGATTCAACAGTAGTGACTCTGTGACTCTGGAACCTGCTGATGATCTAGGACGGGAAAAAATAAATACATGCTCACATATTAATTCCTAGAAAATCAGTGCTCTTTCTATAGTTACTGTATTTTTCTGAATCATGAATAAGAATACATGGGCAGTCCCATAGTTTGGTATATGGATCCAATAATGGATGGAATATTTTACTTCATTGTTTTCCTGGAACCCTGGGACATATGACTGCTAAAACAAACCTCATAAATGCTCATTTATTTTTAATGCATTTATTTTAATGCATGCAAAATATATCATACACATAAAAAGGATTTATAAGATATATGCACAGTTTAAAGCTTAATAAACTGAACACCATGTACCCACCACCCCACTCAAGAAATATATGTCAGTTTATTATGAATAATAAGAGTTAATATTTTCTGAGCACTTATTATGTGCCAGACATTGTTCTAAGCACTTTACATATTTTATCTGATGGATCCTCACAACAACCTTATATGATAAGTAATACTATTATCATTTCACAAATGGGATAACAAGCCTCTGTGAGGGAGCTTGCCCGAGGACACACAGATAATAAGTGGTTGAGCCGGAATAAAAACCTAGACAATCTGCCTCTAGAGCCCACACTTTAAATCACTACACTATACAGAGGCCCTTCGTTGTACAGAATATTGGGACAAAGTGACCATGAAATGAAACGTGTATGCAAACCAAATTTCTCCACTGACTCCTACTCTTTCAATGGAGGGTGAGTTGGGGGTAGAAGCAGGAGAGAAGCTCTGGCTTAGAGGGGGCTAAGGAGTGTGGGGGGGATGGGGAGAGGCAGGGGGGTGTATACAGAGAGACCATCTCTGTCAGGCTCTGTAGCTACCCTTTCCTTTCACGGTCACGCTACTGACGAGCCAAGTGTTCAGTGACTATGTCCTGTCTCCTATAAAAAGGTAAGATCAATGTTCACTAGTTTGAGAAGCCTATAAAAATTACCCCCATCTCTTGGGGCCTGGGTGGCTCCGTCGGTTAAGCCTCGGACTCTTGGTTTCGGTTGAGGTGGTGATCTCAGGTTGTGAGATTGAGCCCTGCATCAGGCTCCGTGCTCACTGGGGAGTCTGCTTCTCCTCTCTCCCTCTCCCCTTCCCCTACCAGCCCTCTCCACTCGTGCACTCTCTCCAAAATAAATAAATAAATCTTTTAAAAAATGACCCCCAAAGCTTTCTGAATACTTCACCCCTCTGCCCACAGAAGTGTCCTCACAGCACCCTGCTCTTTGCAAGTAATGAGAGCATCGTGCTTTCGTTACCAAGACACACGAACAAGAGGACCTCTGGAGTCACAGAGTGAATGAGAAGGGAAAGCTAATTTTTGGCAATGTGGCTCATTTCCCTCTGTATGTTGGCTCACAGAATATACTTCACAACGATTCAACAATGCCTCCCTGCCCACCGAAGTACAGCTATGCTGGATTTGAACTGAGCATTCAAGCCGACGTTTCTCCACGTTGCTTCTTTAACATGCTCTCTGCCCATAATTGATTACAAATATCTATTTGGGGGAATTTGGTTCCCTCAGTTCCTCTCCTTGCAATCACCTTAATGGAAAAAGTCAAATACTTCAGTTCATGGAAAAGTCAACAGCATCCCAAGAGTAAGTGTTCAGGCTACTCTCCAGAGTGGCAATGGCTGGTGAGAGCGAAGATTCCGAACTCGGGCCTCTTCCTCACCACACTTCCACCCCCACCCCACCTCCAGGCAATGTCACATGGGAGGCCCAAGGCAGGGAATTAGAGAAGAGAGCTTGCCACCGAGCCCCCTAGATTATCTGACCCCACAGGTCTTCATGATAATAGCTTGAAGGAGAGGAGCTGGAATATCTTGGTAACTCAGGGACTGGCAGGAAGCCTTTGCACAGAGAAGTGTTGTCCTCATTATCATAAGGAGGTGGGACCCAGATTGAGTCTCAGTGATGAGCTGAATCCTTCTGTGACGGGGGCTCTCCAGATGGGCAGAAGCCACTGACTGTCCACAGGGAGGAGGAGGCTTCATCTGAAACAGGGTGCTGGAGAACACGAGTTGCCAGCCAAAGCAGACGGTGGGGGGGGGGGGGGGGCGCTGTGAGGTTTCCCTGCAGCATCCAGAACACTGTACAGAACACTGCGCGTGGCCTGGCGTCTAGCCACCTGCGCTGGACCCACCAGCACATCTGATGGGCATGCGGGGTGGGGTGGGGGGGGAACAGTGGCCCCTGCTGGCTAAGGATGGCCACATGCTTTTTGGGTCCCTAAGGAGGGGTTATGGACTTCTTTTCACTTTCAGAAAAAAAACTTCTTCGGAACACATTTTGACAAATGAGGATTGGCGACCATAAAATGTCAAAGGGAATGTTCAGGTTTCTAAATGGGGTTCTAGCAGACGGAAGAGCCAGTGGGCAGCTTACACCACAGGCACCTCTGGCCCAGGACCCTGTGACAGAGCCAGGAGCCAACCAGTGCTTCCTTCCTAACAACAACAACAAACTCCTGAGACCCACGCTATGGTTGCCAAACAGCAGACAGAGGTAAAAGATGTAAAGGCAGAAGATATAATGATGAAAAACATCCCATTACCCACACCTACAGATGCATATGCCTCATGGTTATTTTGCATCAAATGCAAACTTTATCCCAAAAGAGCCAAAAATGATATTTAGAGCCTCAATGATCATGGAAATTTTTAATTCCACAAATAACTATTAAGGGGGAAAATGGTTTCAATGAATATATTTATTTTAATCTCAGTAGACTGGCATGCAAGGGACCATGGCCTTTTTTTTCTCCCCCAAATGCCTGAAATCAGAGTACTGGTGGAAAGAAAAGATTGTTTTAAATGACCCAGCTTTAGAATGGCAGACAAAAGACCAGGAAGGTCTGTCTGTCTGTGGGCAGCAGTCAAGCACACCCTGGGATGGGATGGGGGGTGGGTGGTAGGGAGGAGAGCTGCAGAGCCCTGTGGGCGAGTTCTGCCCCTTCCTCCCCCTCCCCTCCTCCTCTTGTGATGCTTCTGCTCTTCCTCTCGGTCCTTCCCTTCTGACTTCCACTTTCTTTCCTTCCACATGCCCTCCACTGCACAAGCTACATTTGTCTTTCCTTCCACACCCATTCTTAGAATAACCTTCCATTTCCACACCCAAATCCCTCTACTTTCCACCCGTCAGACCTCTCACTGAGGGTGGGGACTGTGCCACCATTAATGGGGCTTCCAGACGCCAAAGCACGGAGCACATTAGTGCAGACCACAGGTAGTCATGGGACAGATACGAACAAGACCGGGTCCTCCTGGCCTCAGACAACTTCCAGTCTAGAGAAGGCAGCAGACAGAGGCCCACAGAACTGAACTCTAGGCTGAGTGGGCTAAGGCATAAAAGTAGAGTTAATACGATGGGTGAGCAGACCCTGGGAGGAGCCCAGATTCCGGAGCGCTTGCTGAAGGAGGCCGAAACTGAGCAGAAGGGCAGGGGCCTGCCTTTCTCATCTCTGAAGCCTCCTGTGAGAATGCTCTGTGGAGATGTCTTCACAGGGGCAGGGAGAAAGGGTTGACGGAGAGTTTCAGCACCCACTTGCTTAACTGCCAGAGCCCAGCTCGGCACACAACCTCGCTCTTGGCTCCACGCCAGCTCACACCACCAGCTCTGCACTCCTCGGGATTCTGTCTAGAGGTGCAGAGCTCAAGGGAGATTACCAGAAGGGAGCAGAGACAATCTTAAAGATCTTCCTTCCCTGCCCTGGAATGAAGAATCGAAGGCACACCCAGGACCTCAGCGAGCCTCATGCCCGCCCCCCCCAGACCCCCCTCCCCTAGGCCCCTCCGCGTAGGGCTTCCAGCCTGCCCGTCCTCCAGTTCTGACTCAGGACCACAGGGGAGGTGAGGAAGTGGAGAGGGAGGGGGAAAGCAGATGATTCTTTCAAGAATCTGCTCTGGAGCAAACCACTTCCCCTCTCTGGGCCCAGTTTCCTCATCTGTAAAATGAGAAAGCTGGCGCTTGTCAGCCCAGATGTGACAGCTCTGCTCTGCTTCCTTCCTGCTGTCCTTCAGTGTATCTTTCTCTTCCTGTAAGGTGGGGCTCTTCCCAGTCCCTGGAAGCCGTCCACCTATCATTGTCCGCTGGGACAAGAGCTTCCCCCACCCCACTCTCCCCAACTCTGCTCAGGCTCTTTTTCAGATCCCCTCTCCTTTATGCATTCTTTCTTAAAACTGTGGCTTTTCTCTTCCCCGCCTGGGCTTCGCAGGGGGAAGCAGTCCACGCTGCTGGAACTTGCTGGAACTTCGGGGCGGCTCTTATCAGCTTTCAGTGGGCACTCCCACACACCCAGAGACAGGAAGCAGGGCTTTCAGACGGTCTGCTCAGCACTTGCGAGAGAGCCCTCAGATTTCTCAGTGGCTACACGAAAGAGCCATTAACCCCAGCCGGACCTGCAAAAGGGAATTTCCAATCTCTGAAATTCAAGCCGGCGGAGCCAGATTGAGGAAACTGCTTCCTACTTTTAAAATCGTGGTTAAGACTCCAAGGAAGAATTAGTTAGCATGCTTGTTGCAAGACAGAAGCCTAGGACCCTCCAGGCAGCGGCAAGAACAGGGTCTGACAGTGGTACTCAATCAGCGCTGCGGATAAAAGGGAGAATGAATAATCCTGTCGCAGAGGATGGTCCCTCCTCTTAGAACCTTGTCAGAGAAATGGGCTTTTCTAGGTATACTCCATATGGAAAGCTACGACAACAGTCCTGTGCATGTAAGATACATTTCCCTTTGGATCTTTTTGCTGGAAACTTCCTCTTGCCTTCATTCTCCTGAAGTAGTTCCTGAAAGAACCCTGACAGAACACACTCGTTGGGAGGGCTTGTAAAGGAGAGCAGGCTGCAAAGGTGACCCAGGCATGCGGCTGGCGGGACCCTTTTCCACTTGGCCATTCGTCCAGGGCCCCACCTTTGTGTCCCCACCCCCTTCAGACTCCCTGGGAACAGATCTGAGAGGCAGGGCCAGCAGAACTTCCATCCCCACTTCAAAAGGCTTATCCTGCTATGCAAGGGGTGAGTTTTTAAACGAATGTCATAAATTTACCTATTCTTATCACTTAGGATAGTCTTGATCTCTCCCTATATGAAACTCCTTCAGCATTTGTGTTCTGTAGCACGAGAGCCTAGCATCCAATAATCTCTGCCTTTTATTACTTTAATCCTTTTGATGTACATGCCCAGTCTCCCCAACCAAAGAGCAGGTTGTTCTGAACATGGACTGCACCTTGTTCACCTGTCACCCTGGTCCCGATCAACGTGTCTAATTCATAGTTAGTGGATCTTGTGTGTTTTTTATCTTGGTTTATTACACAAATAAAACATGCTCACGGTGATTACATATTTATTGGCAGAGTAAATCACCACAGAATAAAGTGCATAGCCTCCAAAGCAATTAAAGGAATGCAAATTTTTAAAAATGGAAGATATTCTTATATGTGTATTAAATTAAGACAAATCAATAAAAATGAAAAAATGCTATGCAGGAGTGATTATGCAAAAGAGTGTGCTTACACAGCATTGGAGGGGGACTGTCATTTGGCGCAAGACTCTCGAACGCTACCTGACAACATCTTACAGCAAGTACAAAGATCCCTTTGCCTTTTAATTGGAGATGCAAGTGTTAGACCTGGGATCTGGGCATCCTGACACTTCTCCATTCTAAATTCTCCTCTCCTTGCTGCCTTTCTCTGTGTCTCTGTCTCTCTCTCTCTCTCATCTCCTCTCTGGCCATCACCCCCGGCTGCAGATTTCCTTCTGCCACTGTGTCTGTCCTCAATCGCATTACCAAGAGCCCGTCCTCATTCTGCTCCAAAGTAGATTTCTCCCTCAGCCAGACTTCAGCCATCTGTCCCTCCAAGTGTCTTCTCCGGTGTCAGATAAGTCCTGCTTTGTTTATGTTCCTCCTCTGAGAGAATTCCCCAAGCCCTCCAGGGTGAAAGCAGTTGTTCCCTGTGAGACATCACCAAACATCAGCACTCGGCGTGCAGGCCAGACAGCCATTCTCTCCTCGCTGAAAGTGACTGTGGGGGGCAAAACCCAAGAGCAGAGGCTCAGAGGCTGTTCATGGGGGACCCCCATGGGCCAAGGCCAGCAGCGGGGGGTGTGGACTCCATCCCCCACATGCCTTCCTCCCCTAACTTGCTCCCAGGCTGAGAGGAAAAGAGAGATGCGGGGGGAAGTGGGGGTGGGAAGGAAGTGCTTGTGTCGGTTTTCTTACTTGGCTGGTACTGTTGCTAAGTCCTCTCCGCTGTCTGGTGCCTGCCCACTGTCATGGCAGCACACATCATCCAAATGCTGCCTGCTTCTCATCTGAATCAGTTTTGGAGGGTCCACTGTGATCCCACCATGGTGAACCTCCCAGAAGCACATGGCCTTGGTGCAAATCCTGTAGCAGATGCTCGAGGTGCTACGGCTGGAGGCCTGAGGCCCACTGCTCTCTTCACAGTGGGACAGCAAGTTCTTTCCTTTTATTCTTTTTTCTCTTTATTGGAATTTAGTTGACATACAATGTTACATTAGTTTCAGGTGTTCTATACATGACGTAATGCTCACCACCACGAGCGTAGTTACCGTCTGTCACCATACAATGTTATTACAATATTGTTGGCTAATTCTTTTCATCCCTGTGGCTTATTGATTTTGTAAGTGGAGGGGTGTACCTCTTAATCCCCTTCCCCTACTTTGCTCATCTCCCCCACCCCTCCCCTCTGGCAGCAAGTTCTTATAGAGAGAATCCAGGGCACCTGCAGGGCTGCAACCTATTTTGAGGGATCCAGGAACAGAGATTTCTTTGAGAAGCAATGTTAGCCTAAGAGTTCTAAGACATTTCCCCCTCTTCTCCCTCCCTGAGACAGGAGCTGAGTGCTTTCCTCCCCAGATCAAGCAAGAAGTGAAAGGAAGTTTAAGGAAGCCGCTGGAAGAAGCGGGAGCCCCTCTCACACGCAGAAGGACATGCGCTTAAAGCTGCTGCAGGATTGGCAGAAGGAAGCAGGATGGTTCTTGCAAGAGCTTGAATTGTGTCTCTTGAGTTTGGGAGGCATAGAGCCTGGTGCCAGGGGCATGGGATGAGGGCAACAGTGGGAACAGCCTGTGCTTCTGGAATTTGTTGACGAAAGATGCACGGGTCTCCTGTTGCACAACAATGTGAATATAGTTAACCCTACTGATCTGGACATTTACAGATGATTAAGATGGCAAAGTTTATAACATGGTTTTGACCACAATTTAGATTGTGGGCAAAAAGAAGAGGGATGCGGGTGCCTGGGTGGCTCAGTTGGTTAAGCGACTGCCTTCGGCTCAGGTCATGATCCTGGAGTCCCGGGATCGAGTCCCGCATCGGGCTCCCTGCTTGGCAGGGAGTCTGCTTCTCCCTCTGACCCTCCTCCCTCTCCTGCTCTCTGTCTCTCATTCTCTCTCTCTCAAATAAATAAATAAAATCTTAAAAAAAAAAAAAAAGAAGAGGGATGCATAGGGTTTTTCATGACCCAAATGGGCACTGTGGAAGGTAGCTGTTGTGAGCCCAAAGGGATCCCTACCCAGAGAACTGCCCGCCATCAAGAAACCTAAGGAGAAAGAGGCCAGAGCTGTCCTGCTTCTGGGGACAGGGACCAAGCCGAGCAGTGGAAGGTCACCTGGAGAAGGATTACCCACTTGAAGGGCTAGACATGCACAGACTCCCCAGCAGAGGGGTCAGTGTGGAACCTCAAACAGGAACACTAGGGCCTGGCTATTTCCGTTCAATGTGGCACACCTCTCGTGGACAGCTGCTGGTCCAGAGGTCTCCACTGGGTTGGCCAATACTTTCTCAGATTCCCATCAAAGTCTGGGGTCTCTCTGTCCAACCCTGTTTCCTCCATCATCTGTTACAGCCATCGCTCCCCAATAAACCTCTTGCACTCATAACTTCACCTCAGGGTCTGCTCCCAAGAGGATCCAAATGTCACCATTTCAGAATTTCAGAACTGGTTTCCCTAAATCATGGTAAATGGCTGCAGGTTGAGCTAGCGTCTCTCTTCAGAATGTGTGAGCACTTTTCACCCTTTTCCCTCAGCTCTGAAACTCCAGCACATAATATCCTATTACAGATTGTGTAAGCGAACTTTCCACTAGATAACATTGTAGTAACAAAACCTAAAATCTCCGTGGCTTACAACAACAGATGTTAATTTATTTTTTAAGACTTTAAGTAATCTCTACACCCAGCATGGGGCTCAAACTCACAACCCCAAGATCAAGAGTCACATGCTCTACGGACTGAGTCGGCCAGGTGCCCAACAAGGGTTTATTTCTAACTCACTATATATGTTGCCAGTCTCCTCTAGATGTCTTCTCATAACAGTATCCAGGCTAAAAAAACAGCCTCTATCCTGGGTGTGCCTTTCTAAAGGCAGAGGGAAGAGAGCAAAAATGCTGGTGGAAACGTGCAATGCTCTGCAGGTTTCTCCCACTCACATTTTATTAGCCAAAGCAAGTCACACGGCCAAACCTGACAATGAGGCAGGAAAATATATTTCTGCCACAGTCCCAAGGCACCAGGCAAGAATATCTAATCCTCCTTTGGAGGAGCAAATATTTGAAAATATGCCAGGCCTGAGGTCTGGGAGAGTTCTTGGCCTTTCCTGCCAAGATGGCAGCTGCAGCTACGGGAAACACGGCCCTATTCCACACAGGAAGGAAAAGAAGTGGGGGGTGGGGGGGGAGAGATAAACAGGAAGAACTGCTGGCTGAGTCTGTCTCACTCTTTTTTTTTTTTAAGATTTTTATTTTTGTGGGCGCCTGGGTGGCTCAGTTGGTTAAGCGACTGCCTTCGGCTCAGGTCATGATCCCAGAGTCCTGGGATCGAGTCCCGCATCGGGCTCCCTGCTCTGTGGGGAGCCTGCTTCTCCCTCTCCCACTCCCCCTGCTTGTGTTCCCTCTCGCTGTGTCTCTCTCTGTCAAATAAATAAATAAAATCTTTAAAAAAAAAAAAAAAGATTTTTATTTTTAAGTGATCTCTATACCCAATGTGGGACTCAAGCTCACAACCCTAAGATCAACAGTCTCATGCTCTACTGACTGAGCCAGCCAGGTACTCCAAGTCTATCTCTTTTAAGAGTTGTGGGGTTTTTTTTGGCAGTCTCTCTTAATGACTTCCACTTACATTTCATTGGCCACTTCTCTCTGCAAGGAAAGCTGAAGTATGTTATTCAGCTGCCACTTCCAACAATAGAGAGGTTTTGTTAGTAAAGAAGGTAATATGAATATTGGGTGCTCAGCTAGCAGTTTCTGCCACTCCAACAAAAGAGAAACATCTGTAAGTCTTTGGAAGCTGCAAGACAGAATAAAGAAAAGTTGACTGATGAAACTCAAAGAGAAACCATCGTCTAGAATTTTCTGTGGCTGTTGCAGAGACGCTGGAAGCTGATCTACCTGACAGAACCTTGACATGTTTCTGGGCTCAGAGTCAGAAGCTGTTTAGAGGGTAGAAGCAAGAAGTGGGCTAAAAAGAGAGAGAACATGGGAACGTCTTATAGGACAACTATCCTCGACACCATCTTACCCATCACCGTCCAGAGAGCCAGCCGTCAGCATTTAGCCCCATGCAAAACCAAACCAAACCCAAAGATACTGAACAGAATATTTCAGCCCTCTTGAGGTCTTTATTTGGAGGCTCCTGAAGCCTGACAGCCCATTTCTTGCCATCTTACCCAGAGCTCTGAATCCAAAGACTACTCGGTAGAGAAACCTTGCCTGAAAATAACAACAGCTGTGGAAGGCCACATCGGCTACACAGTCTTCCCGCCTTATATGTGAGCAAAGCTTTGGGCTTACCAGACAAATGGGGAGCTCCGCTGCAGGATCGGGTGCTATTGCAGATGATGCCACACCCAGAGCCGAGCATTAAGTGGAAGTTCCACAGGCTGAACCACAGGCCCCCCCAGCCCTGTTGTACCCATACAAAAAGAATAGGTTGCTATGAAAACGGAACATTCAGAGAACCACAAAGGAGTGCTTATACATTTAAAAATTCTGCCTACCACAAATATAAATATTAATACTGGGAAGAGGGTGGTAGACTGGGAAAGTGCAAAGTAAAATCTTCATATTGGAGAGTTAAAAGGTAATGTCAAAGTCTTCTAAATAAGTAGAGGCTAACTAATAGAGATAACAACATAAAGTCTAGAGTTATGAAGGTAGCCACAAGAAGAACTTAGTAAAGAAACTGGAAGGAAGGAAGGAAGGAAGGAAGGAAGGAAGGAAGGAAGGAAGGAAGGAAGGAAGGAAAGAAGGAAGGAAGGAAGGAAGGAAGGAAGGAAGGAAGGAAGGAAGGAAGGAAGGAAGGAAGGAAAAAAGAAAACATTTTCTCTGACTTCTGGGTTCAAGGAGGGGAGGATACTTGGAAGACCATGACTTTCCACTATAACCTGCTCTGTATTATTTGATCTGCATGGGCACGTGGACTACTATACCTATGCTTTCTGCAACATTGTATTTTTAGATTTATACACATTGGTAAATAAAGGTCCAATCCATTATTGAAACTGCTATATAGTATTGCACTATCTAAATACACCATGTTTATTTATCCACTGTCCTTTAGATGAGCATCTGAGTCATTTAAAATGTTTCAATATTAGGAACAATATTGGATCAAATAGTCTTGTATATATCCTTGTACACATGTCTCTAGGAAAGAAGCTCTGCACTGGAGGGAATGAGTCTCTTTCCGGTCACCAGGAAACTGACAAATCATTCTCCAGAGCAGGTGCACCCGTTCTCATCCATAATAGATGGAAGTATCAGTGCTCCACATCCTCACCAGCTGAGTTTGTCAAGTTTCTTAAATTCTGCCAACTTAATGGGTGTGAAATAACATCTCATTATGATTCTGGTTCCCAGATTGTTAGAAGAGTTAAGTGTCTTCTCATGAGTTTATTGGCAATATGGATTTTCTCTTCATTGATGTTTTGCCCATTTTTATGTTTTGTTGTTTATCTTCCACTAATTGGTAGGCATTCTTTATGAATTCTGGATACTAGGGTTTTGTTGGGTACATGCGTTGAAAATTCTTTTCTCAGTCTATGGCTTTTAAAATTTGTTTACTTTTTGCTTATTCATTTAACATAAGTTTTACTACATGTTAAATTTAATCAAATACATCAACCCTTTCTTTTACGTTTATACTTATTATGTTGTGTTTATGAAACCCCCTCTCATCCTGAAGTCACAGTTCTGTCTTCCTCAGGGCATAAAGTAAAGCCTCAGTTAACATACAAATAAATATATGAATAAATAAATTCTTTCCAGGTTGTTGGTCTCCAGGACATTACACAAATCCAATTTTTTATCTTGTGCAAGCACCTTGCTCGTACAGGCAAATTTATATTGTAAAATCGGACTTAAGGACAAATATTACAGGGGTTGCTGCCATTTATCATAATGAAACCAAGCTGAAGAATGCCTTCCTTTACACATGTGGAAGTGTACAAATGGCAGGAATAGCTAATTATTCTTCTTCACAAAAGATAAACTTGAGAAATGGGGTTTTAATATGTAGCAATATTTAGATTAGAAATCAGAAAGGCCATCTTGTTAGTAAGGGCTACAGCAATAGAACAAGGCACCCTAAACAGCCCATGTAGTGAAAAACCGTATTAAGCCTCGATTATATGGCAGACCTGTAAGGAGATTTGTGGACGTCTTTCTTTAAAAAAACAAAAAACAACAACATAAGCCATCATTAGGTGTCACGGCACAGTAAAATCCTCAAAGCCAGAGTTTTTGCCTTGGGTGCGTAGCAGCAAGTCAATAGCTCCAACACGCATGTTCAGCAATGACATCCTATTGCTTCTCTCCTTAAGCCTTTGTCTTTCATCTCCTCTCCATTTTCCATGGCCCCATCCTAATGAGGCTTCCTCTCTTCAAATCTGGTTTAGTGAAAGAGTCACCTAACTAGTCATCCGACTTCCAGCAGTTCTCCCATCCTCACGTGCTAGATGAAGCTTCCTCAAAACCTGGCCACTATCAAGTCTCTCTTCTCAAAGTTTTCAGGGCAGCCTCATTGCACATTGTTTAAATATGCCATAGACATGGAGACATTGTCCCTTTGATGAGTATTTAGGTCATTAAAAATTTTCCACTATTATGAACAATATCGTTTGTAATGTGAATTTTCTAGCCGGATATTTAAGACCCTCCATACTCTGTCACCCATTAGCTCTCTTTATGTCCCATCACATCCTATGTAAATCCTCTGCTTCCTAAGGGCTGATCTTCTCTTCTCTGCCTCTGTTCCTTCTCCTCTCCAATGAAAGGATCCTACCAAGGACAGCCCAAGACCCACTTCCTCCATAGGTTCTTTACTGACCGCTCAGTGATTATTCCCACCTCAGATTCCTAAAACACTTACCATCTGTGCCATGCAAGTTAGCACTTACTGCCTGAAATGTTTTTATATATCTCCCGGTTCCCAAAGTAGATTAAAGTGATCTGTGGGCAGGAATGATGTGTCAGGGAGTCTTGGGCAGAAGGGAGGTCCCTGAGGCATCTAGCCCAGTTCCTGACAGGATTCAGTAAGTATCTGCTGACTGCCATTTAGCCCAATATGTATTAAATATCTCATAATGTCATTTAGCCCAATATGTATTAAATATCTCATAATATATTTACAAAAGTCTTAATATTCTCCTGTAGGTTGGGTTATACTTCACAAATGAAAACAACTCGTTGTAAAAGAGAAAATAAAATTAACGCAAAAAGGTGTTTTTAAACATTAAGAAGAAATATAAAAGTTACCTAAAATCTCAGGCACTCCAGTTCTTTTTAAATGAGAGATTATTCATTACTGAAGAGTCACACATTGTAAAACTCCCCACAGAAATGGTTTACAATGTCCTCGGACAACCTTTTCTCAGGAGGTTAAAGACTTGGAGAAGAGAGGCCAGTGTGACGGTTACACTGTGCTTGGCAGAGACCCCCTAAGTACGCAGACTGGACTGTCCCAGTCCCCACCTCACAAGGGCACTCTTCTGGCCCCAGCCTGAGAAGGTCGGGCGGAGAATAACCACCTACCACCCTCTATCTGTAATTTAGGGAAACTGCCGCATTTCCTCGCTGGCTCCTTAAAAGTACTGCTTGCTGCAAATGCTTGAGAAAATAGTGAAAAGGGGTAAAGAAGAAAAGAAAAATCACCACCACCCAGGGATAACCACTAATACTGCTGTGGAGAATTTATCGGATCCTGCGCACACATGGACACACGCACACCACACTGCGGGCTCATGCCCCGTAGGCAGTGAGAGGATGTGTGAGTCAAGGTTACAAGCGTGGCCGCGGGAGTCTGACTCCAGGTCTGAAACCTGGCCCTACCACTCACTGGCTCTGTTACCTGAGCACATTGCTCCCTGCACACATTCCCTCACCTGTAAAATGAGAATCCTAGTACCTGCCTCATAGGGTTGCCATGGGCTTAGGGGAGGTGATATGTATGCGGTGTTTCCACCAGCGAGACGCGTAGAAAGAACGATGCAGCTCTGAGTTACACAGTTCCCCATCTTACCTTTGAACTTCACATTTTTATCAGGACCCTGTTGTCAAATCTTCTTTGAAAAATATTTTTACGATTATATGTTTCTCTATCCTACTTTTTACTTAACGCTTTACCATGCCTCTATGTTTTTAATATTCTTTTAAAAAATTATTTCTGATGTCTGTATAACTAATACTCTACCTTCTAAATATACCACAATTTATCACTTTCTCCTGTTTCGGGACATTCAGGTTGTTTCCTATTTATCACTATGATGTATAATACTGTGACAATATACTTAAAACTTGAGTCACACAATCTCTGTTTGCTTTCTTAGATAGATTTCTAACACAGAATTGCTAGAACAATAGGGTATAAACATTGTTTAATGTTTATATCACCAAACGGCTGTCCAGAAAAAACATTCCAAGTTTGCTCCCATCAGCCCTGTGTGACAGTAACATGCTGGTGACAGTATTCTGGTGTTATCTCTTTTTCTTTCTTTTTGCTATTTGGGAAAAAGAACATTTTTGTTTCACTTAATTTTTATTTTGATTACCAGTGCGGCCAAACTTTTATGATTACATTGGGCCTGTGTATTTCTTCTTTGGGGAATATTCCATTCGTGTCCCAATTTTTTGGCATTGGTTTGGGGTTTTTTGGTTGAGTTGCAAAGAGGTTTTTTCGTATTAATTGGTAAGTGCTCTTTATATATTGGGAATTTAGTTTTTCTGCCCCCTTTTATTTTTTCCAGTTTACTTTATGGCTTACGGCTTTCCTTTCCTCATTGAGTCAGCACATAGTTCTTGAGTGCTGGCCACGTGCCAGGCACTGTTGTAGGTGCTGGGGATTCAGCAGGGAGCAAAGTCAACTAAAATCTCTGTCCTTGGAGAGCTTACCCATTAGTGGGGGCTTCTAGTTGAGAGTGTAACTACAATCAACAGAACCATCTAATTCCTCGAATGCCTGTTTTAGAGTTTCATAAGTACCTATTTCTTAGACATAATTGGCCCATTCATGTCATCTTCCTTTCAGAAAACCACTGGAGTCACATGAATACAGAGGAGAGAGACCCCAGGGCTTAGCCTGATAGAGAAAATTGGATAATATTTTCAAACAGGTATGACTGAAAGGGCAGCCATAGACTTTCAGATGGGACTTGGGGCATCAGGAGCACAGCTAGTGGTTCTTTCTTTTCCTTTCACACAGGTACCTCACTTGTATATCTCACAGTTGGGGGCAGGAGAAACAGAGGAGTGTGAGGGGGGATGATGAGAATAGAGAAGTTTGGCGTCCTATCTGAGTTGGCTTGGGCTGTCATAACAAAGTACCACAGACTGGGTAGCTTATAAACAGCAACAACTTACTTCTCACAGTTCCGGAGGCTGGAAGTCTCAGATCAGGGTGCTAGCATGGTCAGGTCTAGGTGAGAGCCTTCTTCTGGGTTGCAGACCGCTGACCTCTTGTTGTATCCTCACATGGTGGGAAAAGATTGAGCTAGCTCTCTGGCCTCTTCTTAAAAGGGCACTAATCACTAATCCTATTCATAAGAGTTCACCCAAATACCTCCCAAAGCCTCCCAAAACCATCACATTGGAGATTAGATTTTAACATGTGAATTTGTGGGGGACATGAACAGGTCCTATAAGCAGAGGGCACTGTGCCAGGAATGACTTTAAGGAATGGCTGATGCACCAACGTCAATTTTATAAGAGATTCCCATCCCTCAGTGGATGCACAGGAGAGCTGTGGGGTCTGCAATAGGAGCAAAATTGCCTCCTCAGCAATCTGTGTGTGCATGTGACTCAAGGACCAGACAAATGACCATCCTCCAAAGTGTCAGCCCTCGGAAACAACTCCAGGGAAGCAGAGAAATGCCTGAATTAACTGAGATTGTGGTTTTGGCACCAGCAGAATAAGAATCAAAATAAAAATAGAATGGAATTATAGAAAGTTCTATTCCTTATACATCTGAAAGATCTCGTGTTTTTAAGAGCAATCACACACACAGACAAGAGATAATTATTTAAATGCTTAAATAAGAATTCCCATAGTTCTTAAGAAGAAACTGAAAACGCAAATGAAAAATTCTGTTAAATTAGCATCATTTTAAGTTAACTTTTACAAACGCAGTTCCAAAAACATCCGTTCCAATATGTACAAGGTGGAGTCCATCAATTCCTTCTTCACCTTTGGCCACTCACAGGCAACACACACATAAATAACCCTACAGAGCCAGGATAAACATAACTGACCGTAAAAGTTGCCCAGCCCAGATGAGCAAGAACCTCCTGACAACCAGAATCTCCGGATGGTCCTACTCAGAAGATTTCCCCTCATCTCCTCTTCTGGCACAGCTCGGGCTCAACTGCGGGCTCCACTTTGCCCCCTTCTCTCTGCTCTTTATCGGAAGCTGCCCTTGGTCCCTCTCCGCTTCCTCCTCAGTGAAGCAGAGCTGGCTCTTGCTAGGAGGAACCAAGTAGAAGATTGGTCATAGAATCCAGATTCAAAAGAAGGGTTCAGAAAAGATGGTCAACATCACTAATCGTTAGGGAACTGCAAATCAAAACCACATGAGATAACACTTCACACCCATTAGGATAACTACAAAAAGAAAAAAAAGAAAGGAAGGAAGGTTGGTGAGGATGTGGAGAAACAGAAACCCTTGTTGGTGGGAATGTTAAATGGTGCAGCTGTTGTGGAAAATGGTAGGATGGCTCCTCAAAAAATTTAAAAATAGAATTACCCTATGATTCCTCAATTATACTTCTAGGGATACACCCAAAAGAATTGAGGGCAAGATCTCAAAGAGATATTTGCACATCCATGATCACTGCAGCATTATTCACAATAACCAAAAGGGGGAAGCCACCCAAGTGTCCACTGACACATGAATGAGTAAAGAAAATGTGGTGTAGGGCGCCTGGGTGGCTCAGTTGGTTAAGCGACTGCCTTCAGCTCAGGTCATGATCCTGGAGTCCCGGGATCGAGTCCCGCATCGGGCTTCCTGCTCGGCAGGTAGTCTGCTTCTCCTTCTGACCCTCCCCCCCTCATGTGCTCTCTCTCTATCTCATTCTCTCTCTCAAATAAATAAATAAAATCTTTAAAAAAAAAAAAAAGAAAATGTGGTGTAGTCATACAATGGAATATGATTCAGCCTTAGAAAGGAATGAAATTCTGACAGGTACTAGAACATGTATGAACTGAAGACATTATGCCAAGTGAAATAAGCCGGCACAAAAAGACAAATGCCGTCTGATTCCACTCACGTGAGATACCCAGAATAGTCGAATTGGCAGAACCAGAAAGTGGAAGGGTAGTTGACAGGGTCCGGGGGAAGAGGGGAATGAGGACGTAGTGTTTAATGGGTACAGAGCCTCCTTGAGGAAGATGACAAGGTTCTGCAGAAGGAGAGTGGTGACAGTTGCACAGCAATATAGATGTCCTTAATGTCGCCGAACTGTGCACTTTTAAAAAGGGGGTAAGAAAAAGACCGAGGAGGAGGGGTGGGTCTGGGTCCAATCGGATGGAAACACGCAACACACAAGGACTGGATTTACCACGTGGAGCGCTGGAGCGAGTTCCCCCATTTTGTAGGGCGAGGAGGGAGGCGGCGGTCCCCCTGAGCTCCAGCGACTGGGCTGTCCAGAAGCAAAACGGCAGCCGGGAAGCGCTTTCCTCGCCCGGGTCGGGGTCTGGCTCCGGCCGCCCTCCTTCCGGGCTACTGCGGCATCCTCGATTTCAGCGGGCTCAATTCAGAAGTCGGGGAAAGAGGGACGCCTTCAGGGACCATTTCGAACTTAAAGGCTTATCTTAGTGGCCACACCCTCCACGAAGCCCCTTCTGATGTCCCCTAAACCCTGCGTTGTCATCGGAGGCCGTATTCCCTCAAAGCGGGCAGAAGTTGGCTCTTGGGAGGGGGAAAAAATCTTACCTTTCTTTTTAAGGAGCAAGCACAGATAAACGTTCGGCAAATTCAGGTACACGGTGTATCTGTGGAATTAAAACCTAACAGTGGCCAGTGGTGCTGGGGCGGGGAGCCGCGGGGGGGGGGGGGGGGCACACACAAAGGTTGAGAAACAGCCCGAAAGTTTGGGGCCTAACACACGCCCCGAGCCCCCATGCTTCAAGCCCACACAGCACTTGGCTCTTCTCTTCCCGGCCTGACCGCGACCCCTTCTCCCCAGCTCTCCCCGGCGGACCCAGGGCGGCCTGCTCGGGGTCGCGCTCCCCCGGCGGTGCCCCCACGCGGCCCGCGCAGCCGCGCACGGTGCGCCCCTCCGCGCCCCCCGGCCGGCGCGGGAAGGCGGTCGCACCCCAGCCGGGGCGGGCTCCCGAGCTCGCGTCGGGGCCCGCGCCGCCCGCGGGGGCGCGCTTCGCCCCCACAGGGGACCCCGCCGCTCCGGCTGCGCGGCCGCGGGCTCGGCCTCTCCCCTCCCGCGCCCGCGCTGGGGCCGCCCGCAGCCTCGGCCCCTCCCGCCGCCGCCTCCGCGCGCTCCTCCGCGGGGCTGGCGCGGCGACGCCCTGGGCGGCGAGAGCCTCCGCGGCCGCGGAAATCTGTACACATCGCACGGGGAGTTTGCTAGCTGGGTCTCTGTGGCGCAATCGGTTAGCGCGTTCGGCTGTTAACCGAAAGGTTGGTGGTTCGAGCCCACCCAGGGACGACAGCGCTCGTTTTCCTGAGACAACCTCGAGACGGATTCATTTTAAAACGGCAACCGTGAGATTTTTAACCGAATAGGAGAGTACGACGCTACCGTACGTCTGGGACGGAGGAAGACCATGTTGTCTCGGTATTTGTCGCCCAGCGGGGGTGGATCTAAGAGCGACTCTGCTTCTGGACTGGCAGCCGGGGCTTGGTAATCTAATTCCACTGTATGTCCACGGGAAATGGGCACACGTTCTTCGGGAGACCGGCCCAAAGATTGTGCTTCAACAGCACTAGTTATAATGGAAAGGGGGGGAAAATGCCCCTTGACAAGTGAGTGAATAAATGCCACTGGTTTCTTCTCGGAAAATCTGGTACCACCAGAAAGTAAATGTCCTTATTCAGTATTGCCTTATCTACTGCCAAAAGGATCCGAGGAGCTGTTCGATGAAAATATGCAAGGGGAGTCACCTGAAAGTATGTGGAGGCATAATCGCCCTATGTAACTGTCTGCTAAATGAAGCTCTGTTACAGCTTTTGGACAATGGACTTGAACCTAGACGAAGGTGTTAATGTTTGCTCTTAGATCGCTGACAGAATTTTCCCTGAAATTAAACTCGGGCCGAAATTGTATGGGTTCCTGTTAAAAGGTTTTGAAGGATGTATTTTCAACTCTGGTCTCACAGAAGACACAGATATTTTTCAGGCAGATGGTTCACATGAGGCTTTCTATAAAGATAGAGAACCACACGATAACATGATAAGGTGATGATATAATTAATTTCTGCCAAGATTGAGGTTATGGGGTGAGTGCTTTGTCTCTGGGATGTACTTTTCATGGATAGAATTTAGAGACCTGGAAGAAAAAATAGTTAAACTGCCTCACTCGGCTGTCCTTCAGGGAATGTCTTGGCAAATGCTGGCTGATAATTACTTCTCCAATAATTATTGATAATAAAATATCCTCTGTTGTCTAGTTAGGAGCCCTTTAAAAAGGAGACACAGTGTTGTACAATTTCAGACAGAGTAAGGAGTAGCCCCCCCAAAATGTTCTTAGGTAGGGGCCTCTCTGATGCTCAAAATTCCAAACTTTCCACTCATACTTAAGGATAGCCTACAGTGGAAACAAGGAAATTAGGTCATAAGATCATTCCTATACCGTTCAAATCTAGTATAACATTTCGAGATGAGGAAGGCATAATATTTGCTAGTACTTAAGTTATGCGACTTAGAAAGCACAACCTTCCACTTTAACCTGAGTGTTCTTATACTAGGTTGTAAGCTCCTTGAGGGAAGAGACGATTTTCTGTTCTTAATGATCATTTTAGGTTCCAATTTCCTTCAAGATACAGTTCAAATTGTTGAGTGTAGGGCTTTCCCCTACCATGTTACTGCATGAAACCCTCCAGTGGTTATATGCATTTACCAGGAGCTTCAATGGCCCATTCTGCCTTGTACCCTGCCCCCCCATCTCTTTCCCTTTGCCCTGATGTGCCAGTGCCCACCTCCTCTGTACTTACCTGGGTAACATCTGCTGAGGAGTTACCTTCTCAGGGAAGCCTACCCTGATGCTGCCTCTGTCTGATTTAGGCACCCCTCCTCTAGGCATTCTGAAACCAGGGAGTTACTTGTCACCTACACCAGCATATGAACTCCTTGAGTGTAGTGACTAGGGCTTTATTTACGTTGTTTGCTCGTCTAGCACAGGTCTGTCACATAGCATATGCTCAGGACCGAAGCATTCCCTGCCTTGTCGGAGTATGTGATTAACAGGGACAGACAGATAAAAATGCATATGATGAAGTGTCAGCATGAGGGCCAGAGAAGAATGTTCCCAGGTAGTAAATGAGGAAGCCAACGTAGATAGGCTGGATTGTGTCTTCACGGAGGATCCGAAACAACCCTGAAAGGTCTGGACAGACCAGAAGGCAGGGGAGGGCTATTTAAAGCTGGCAAAATTTGGAGGCAAGATGGGGGTGGGGAGGAGAGGAGCATAACCAGAATATAGAATAAATGTACTTGAATAGAGTGCACTGACAATGTTCTTAGCCTGTGGAAGGGCCCTGAAGAACAAAGCTGGAAGTTAGACTTTACCCTATAAAGCAAGGGAGTAACTGTTAAAGGTGCCTGTTTCAGGACATAATGAAATTTATTTTAGATGGTTGGTCTGGCAACAGAACAGGGGAAATAAGAGATCAGAGAACAGTTAAGAGGCAATTATATTTCAAAGGAGTAGGCAATGAGGTGGGTCTAAAAAAGAAGGATGTAATTCCAGGGAAGATTGGATAAGACTTAGGGACTGAAACAGGAGGGAAGTGGGTAGGGTGATGCCTACATTTAGAGCCTCGGTGCCCCAGGAAATGGTGATAGTGGTTTTGCTTGATACTGGGAATTTGGGGGGGTCTTAAAGTAATCTTGAAATTCGAGAAATTATAAATTGCCCATACTTTTAACTTACTTACTTGTGGCTGGTTCTCCACCATGGCATGGCGTTCATCTAAAACCTAGTCCCAGAATCAATCATCATTTTTTTAAGTTTAATTTCATTTTAAGTTAAACTTCATTTATTTAAGGTAAACTTCCCAAGAGACTACTTTAGGGGTCCATGGAGCCCTGTAAAAACCTGAATGGGAAGCTAAGGACCCTCTCCCCACAATGTACACATTCACAGAAATAAATTTATTTATAGCGTCCAAGGGAGTCACAGAATCTGGAACAGATTTCTGGGCCCCCACTCTACCACCGATTTTGAAGGCTTTGTACTGTATTTATTCTATTTGTAATCTAATTACTGGTAAAGGTTATAAAGTGTGTCAAATCCAGAGTGTTTAGGTATGGAAAATTACTAAACTGAAGATTTTAAGGTAATATAAAGAACTAGAATAGTCTAATACTATTGACAAGCCACAAAGAAACCATTTTTTTTTTTTACTGATCAATTAAGTAGATATGTAAAATTAATAATAAATGGCTTGAGACAACAAAGCTGCTTTGGAGTTTTAACACTTAATACCTTATTGTTATAATCTGGAATGACTGGGTGTGAAGGGCTTTACTATATGGATCAGTTCAGGGTCGCTTCTATAGGGATTTATAGCAGCAGCAGCTGATTTGTGTTTCTTTCCTTGCGACTTACTTTAATGACACCCAGCAAACTGTCATATTTTACTACCCCCTTCTAGGAATGGAGCCATTTTTCATTGCTTTTTTTTTTTTTTAGTAAAAACAAAACAACAGAAATTATTGTCTGTCAAAGAGGACTCAAACTTGTTATTCCCAAAGATAAAGTGACAGAATAAATCAAATATACACTTTAAGGAGATCCTCAACTACCTTGGCAATAAACTGAGAAGTAGATTATTATAGATTATCATATGTATGTGTGAGCATAGTGGTAGTTTATTTATACTTAACTGAACAATATATTCACTTATACTAGAGTATAGGCTAGTCTGATCGTTGGAATTCACTCGAATAAATACTGCGGAGGTGAAAATCTACAATGGATAGGACTCAACATAGAACTGAAGTTTGAAATGTAGAATTTCTCCACGAATTATCAAGCATGGAGATTCTTCACATAGCCAGTGGTGACATCAGTTTACAACTGCAAACGTTTTGCCATCCTGCTAAATTGGCCTGGTTTACATTGCCTTAGGGCTGGGGGAGCATCAAATATGTGGTATGTTGTAGTGGTGTGTATTTTGGGGAGTGGAAATGACCTTGCTAAATCATAATACCAAAAGGAAAGGACTATAAAATAATGTAAAATTTCTGCTAAACCGTTAAAAATGGTCAACCAGAAACCAAAATTGCCACATGGCAGAGAAAAGTTTAATCCTTTTATACTTAAAGAGCAGATATAAATGATTAAGACTCTCAATTCAACCACCACAGGACGGAAGGGAGGCCCACAGTGCTCCTCATGCTCCTTCTTCACATACCTTTCTCCCAGTCTCCCTCTTCAAAAGACTCCCTTCTCAAGAGGGATGCTGCAGTTAGAACTCATGATCCTCCCAGTCTCCTCTCCCAGAGAGAACTCATCATAACCTGCAGTTTATCTCCATCACTCTGTGACTCCAAGCCTCCTGGGACATTAAACTCTAGATCTTATCTCTCCCAACCTTCCACTCCTATCCAGCACTTAACCCAGCCCCCACCCCCACCCCACTAGCATCTTCTGGGATGCATGGTCTGTCACTGACAGGCCTTCCCATGTCCTCAACTTCCTGAACACTCTCTTCCCTGCCCTATGCTAATGAACTCTGAACATCTGTTGAAGAAACCGCTCCCTCAACAGCCCTGTCAGGTGTTCCTGGCTCCTTGTTGCCTTTTCAACCACTGTTCCCCATCTTCATTATAACCCTCCAGTGTCTTAGAAGCACAAACCTTTTGAACTACTCACTTTGCTCCTCTCCCTGCCATCGCCCATTTTCATGGTCTTCCGCCTTTTCTTGAGGATTTTAGCTCCTGGCTTACTGTATATTTCTTTCCACCAGGACTCCTCTGCCATTTAAATGACTTTGCCTTCCACAGAGACTATCCATACATCATCCTGGCCTCTTGATTTATCTACTCACTTTGCATGGACTTCTCACCCAATGCTCACTTGGCCATGCACTTCCCTTGCTATACTTCAGACCTTGTTATCACTGTTCCCAAAAGCTCAATTTCAAGCACACTACTTTCTAACCAGCTTACTTGCTCCACTAATCCCACTCTGACATTCTTTGAATCCACTTCCAATCCACTGAGATCTGCCACCACTTTTTAAATGCTCATCACCTGTCTTATGTCCCTACATCCTTCCTTATCCATCACTATCATCGTTTTCCTTTCCTAAAACCTTAATTCCTTTTCTCCTCTGTCTTATTTGCCTGGCAATACCTTTAACCTTGGATGAATCCAACTTCCCACCTATTCTTTCTTTCCTGAGCAGCAAATGTGATTGGAGAAAAAATAAACAACCATCTTGGCTCATCTCAGTTAAATTTATGACCACAAACTTCTGGTGGATTCTCGGCACTGCCTAGCAAGGTATGCTATGTCCCTGTTCAATTAGCTCTCAAGACTAAAAATTCTAACCTCTCCTCCTCAATTTTCAACTCCTCCTCCCCTCATACTCTCCGCTGGTAATTTTACTATGTCCCTGAGAAAATTAAAATGTGACCTTTCTCACTCTCTATAATCATCACATCTCCTAATATCTGTATCCATATACTTTGTCTTCCCTAGTAT